AAGAGGTGACTCACCACCTACTTTCTTTTATTTTTTTCTTTTTTAAAGATTTTATTTATTTATTTATTTGACAGACAAAGATCACAAGTAGGCAGAGAGGGAGGCAGAGAGAGGAGGAAGCAGGCTCCCCGCAGAGCAGAGAGCCCCATGCGGGGCTCGATCCCAGGACCCCAGGATCATGACCTGAGCCGAAGGTAGAAGCTTTAACCCACTGAGCCACCCAGGCGCCCCTCGCCACGTACTTTCCATAGCTGTCTGGACCCTGCCGGAGGGTGATCTGGCAGTGGGTTCAAATGTCTGAGCAATAAGGTCAGGGAGAACTGGGAGCTAAGGCCATCTGGAGGGCATTGAGGAACTCCAGCTTCCTTTACTCTCCAAACTTACCTGGAAGAAATTCTAGTTCCCCACTTGTTTCACTCATTCCTGACACCTGCCTCTGTCACCAAGGCCTTATCCTGTCCATCACACATGTCCCTTGCAGCCTCATTCAACAATAATAGATCCTGCACCGCCTCTCCCCAAACACATGTGTGCGCGTGTGCGCGCGCGCACACACACACACACACACACACACACACACACCCCTGTCCAGTTCCTTCTCTGAGCATGTGGATTAGTTGGCTCAGGTTTTTGCTGAGTCAAACTGAACAGGTCAGAGGGCAAGAGGGAAAGAGCTTGCATGTTTGCCTCTGTCTTGTGAAAGCCACCAAGAGGCAGAGTGAGTTGTTACTGTTTGCATACCCTGGGGCCACCCCTCCTGTGTCCAGTAGGAACACAGACCCTGTGCTGGGAATAAGAAGAAATGGGAGGTTTGGGTGCACAGAGCCTAGGTCCTAAAGCAGGCCCAGCAGCCCCTCCAGCGACCCCGCTTGTGCCCCTGCCCGCAGATACGCCAGCCTCTACTTCTGCTGCGCCATCGAAGGCCAAGACAATGAGCTCATCACACTGGAGCTGATCCACCGGTACGTGGAGCTCCTGGACAAGTACTTTGGCAGCGTAAGTCTCCCCACCTGCCCTGTCCGTCCCCAGCAGTCCTCTCTTTCTACCAAACCTTGGGACCCTTCCAGTCTCTGCCTAGAAGGTTTGGGAGAGGCCAAGTTGGAACAGTGAGAACAGTAATTAATTCCCCTCTTTAAGGCTTAAGCCTATTCGCCATATCCCTTAATCAGCCGGGGGCGGGGTGGGGGTGGGGTTCGGTATGCACCAGACTCTGCCACTCAGTACATCTAGAGCTGAGCTCTGAGGTCTCACAAAGGGACAGAGCCCACATTCAGATTTTATCAGTGGCTCCTGACCTTGACTGTGCATTGGAATTTTCTGGAGAGTTGATTTTTTTCTTTCTTTCTTTTTTTTTTTTTTTAATTAGTGATGTCTGGGTCCCATGCCCAGCAAGTCTGGATTTACTGATTGGCGGGGGAGAGCGGGGATAGGCCAGGCATGGACAGTCAGCTCAGACCTAAGACGGGGAGAAGTAATAATTCCCTCATTTGTATTCCAAATTAACAGTTTACAAAGTGCTTTCAGGCTCTCGTGTCTGCTCCTCATTTTATCTTGTGAGTAGGTAGTGTTATCTCAATTTTGAGATGAGAAACCAGACTCAGAGAAATGAAATGTCATGTCCGTCTAGCAGCGTAGTGGCAGAGCCCTGCTTGGCGCTCAAATCTTTCCACCCATGATCCAGAATCTCCTCCTTCCTGGCCCCGTAGCGCCCAGGGAGGGAGGCTAGCCCGGCCCCTGGTGGGAAACAATGACACAGATTTTGGGGGGAAGGCAACAGGAATCACAGTCAAGGGTAGATTAGGGCAACTCATTTTTCATGTTCACAGAGAAAGAGGCGAGACAAGGAGAAAGAAAAGTTAAACCGAGTACTAAGGCTTTGGGGTTCGGGGGTTTGTAGGCCTGGGGCAGGAGCGTGAGGTGGGAGCAGTGGTCACAAAGAAGACTGTGGTGCCATGAGAAGAAAAGGGGGGGGGGGGGGGGGGCGCGGGGGGGGGGGGAACGCACCTTGACATTCAACTCTGCCTTCTCCCCGTCCCCCCCAGGTGTGCGAGCTGGACATCATCTTCAACTTTGAGAAGGCCTACTTCATCTTGGATGAGTTTCTCATGGGGGGTGATGTCCAGGACACTTCCAAAAAGAGTGTGCTGAAGGCCATCGAGCAGGCCGACCTGCTGCAGGAGGTATGGGCCCGGGACAGTGAGGAGGAGGAAGAGTGCCATGGCACAGGGGGCCCTTCCTTCCCTGGACACCTCACCTGCCAGCCACAGCTGCCGCCTTCTGGCTGCCAAGGGAGGCTCCCTCCCTGTGGTGTCTGGCCCCCACGGTGCCCGGTTGGCCAGCTTGCCCTCAAGCGCTGACTGTCTGCTCAGGGTGGGAGTTCAGGGTGGCAGGCCACCTTCTCCCGAGACCCAGGGTGTCTTGTCCCAGCCAGATCTCCTTGGTCCCATACTTCTCTTGGCATTTGGGGTTGCTTAGGGAATCGGAGAGGGGCACATGATAGGTAATTCTTTCCCTGGTGTCTCATGGAGGTGGGGTCCCCTCCCCCCCTTTTTTTTAACAGCACACACACACCCAAAAGCCTCTGCTCCTCAGAAGCAAGGGGTTTTGGGGATTTGGGGGTTGGGGTAGAGGGTGCCCGGTTGTTGGTTCTCTGCTCTCTGACGCCCCCGCCCTCACCCCATTACTGCCTGCCCCCTCTCTGCTGTGCCACTGCTGAGACTTGGTGCAGGGAGATGAGTCACCAGAATCTGCAATGACAAGCAAGCTGGCCTGGGCTGGCTCTGAGGAGGGGGAGAGATGGGGGCTCATCTCTGCAGTAGGAGAAAGGGCAGGATTGAACTTAGCACCTCACTGGTCCAGCTTCCCCTTCATACACACACACACACACACATACACACACACACAGACACACATGCATGTGCCCTGGCACACACACCCACCCCTGTTACTAGTGCGCTGCTCAGACCCTAATGACTCATTTCTCTGCAGTCTGGTTCACCTTCCCTCAGGGACCTGATGCCAACTTATTACTCCCTGCCCCCACTCTGAATCAAAGGACCCAACCATCTGGAACCCCCAGCCTCCAGAAAGCAGGGTTCCCACCCCTCAGTCCCATCTTCACTCCCTTCTGCCTCAGAGATGGAGCCCGCCTGCTCCCCAAGCTTCTGGTTTGGGGTTCTCTGGGTGGTGGCAGACCCCACCTGGAACCCCTACTTAACACAGTTGGCTCTAGGGGCCGGTCCCTGGAGACGGGACTGGAGACTGTTCCAGCTTTGAGCTCACATTGGCTTTTCTCTCCCCCCCCCCCTGTCTCTCTGTGCCCCCCCCACCTCATGATTGTCGTTGTCTTGCCCACCCTCCTCTCCCTTATTCCCTGTCTGCCTCTCCTGGTGTCTCTGCATCACCCTCTGTCTGTCTCTGCCTCAGGAAGATGAGTCGCCCCGCAGTGTGCTGGAGGAGATGGGGCTGGCATAGCCCCCCACCCCGCCTGGGCCCGTGGAGCTGTGGGGAGCTGGTGGAGAGGCAGGGCACAAGTGCCGCTTTTCTTGGTGGGACCCAGCCACCCTTCTTCTGCTGCCTCACCTTCTTCTGGAGTGAGCTGTGGGCTCAGGACCCTCAAACATTCCTTCCCTCACCTCTATCTCCTCTTTCCCCTCTCCCCAACGAAGGTTTTAGGAGCTAGGAGGTAGGAAAATGTGACCAAAATGGGGGTGCTATTTGGCTTTCTTTCCCTGCCTTTGAAGAACTAATGTTACCCCAGACTTTCTCCCCTCCCTTATAACTGTAAATATATAAATACGTCAGGTTAAAGGGAAAAGGTTTTCAGGGCTCTTCTCTTCTCCCTTGCCCCATAACCTACCTCCACCCTGCCCCAGTAGCCAGCTAGGGCAGCCCCTCTGCCTGGGATGGGGTGGGGGGAATTTCTGAGTACTGAAAGGGAAGACCTTTCCCCTCATCTACCCTCCTCCTCCTCCGCCACCGTGGGGACTCTGTCCAGTGCCAGGGGAGGACCAACATGGTTAATTTTTTTCTAACCTTGCCACTTTGCGGGAAGTGAGGGCTGGGGGAAGGGCAGGCTCTCCGGGAGACTGTCCCTCCTTCACTCCATGTTTTGGGTGAGGCAGGAGCTAAGCTCCAGAGAGGAGCTAAGGGGTGGGGTGTGGGAAGCATCTGACTTTATTTCCTTTACTCTGAAATAAAAGGAAAAGCGTTTCTGGACTTTGTCTGCTTGGGCTCTGTGAAGGAAGGAAGGGCCCCTGGGATCAGTCAGGAGGGGACGGGAACTGGGATTGCTGGCGTTAAAGGGAAAAAAACAAACACATAGGGGACCTCTGGTTTGATTTGAATGATAATGAATATTTTTAGGATTCGGGTCCTATGAAAATACATCCGTCGTTTATCCAAAGTGAAAATTTAACCTGTGCTGAGTTCCCCTATTCCAATCGGATTTGTGAGCTCAGTGCCTCTCTGAACTTGGTACCTCCAGCTCCGCGGTCACCTTCAGCCAGGGACGAGCAACTCCGAGCAACTCCTGGGGACACGGTTTCACTCCTGGGCTTACCAAAGGGTTGAGGAGTGGCTGAAAGCAGGGTGTTTCTGTAGCTGGAGGCCCCTCCTCCCCGTATGTTGTGAAATACACAAGACCAGGGAATTTAGGGGTCCGGGGAGAGAGGCGAGTGGTGAGGTTGGAATCGGGCTGTGGAGCCACCAGTATTGCCAAAGAGGCTGGAGGGTCATGGCTAGAAGAAGCTTCTAAGTGGCCTAGGGACCCACCGCCACGGGCCACCGGCCACCACCACCATCCCCCCTAGGCTGGAAGTGCAGTTTGGGCTTTCTTCATAGATATGGGCCATATTCTATTCTGAAATGCGGCTGAAAGCGGTTCCACCACCCTGGCTTTTGAACAGGAGGCGAGGAGTGTTGTGGCCGGCGCTTCCCTCACCGCCCCTTGGGAAGGACCACAGAGGCCCAAGGGGACGGGTGAATAACGGAGAACAAAGTCCTAATAAAATAGTCACTTTTATTTCTTAGCAAAACTATTTCCTCCGTGAGGGGTATTTACAACAGAGAAGGGAAAGAATAGGTAAATTCACAGCGATCTGGAGAGGGTGGAGAGGCTCCTGGGAGGCCCAAGGGCAGGAGACAGACACTTCTTCACACAATTAACTGGAACAGCTTTTTCCGGTTTTGGACGGGGACGTCCCGAGAGGGACTAGGTGGGGACAGAGGCCCGGTGGGGTGGGGGAGGGTGATTCGCACAAACCACCCGCCCGCCTGGGGTGGCCCCGGGGGGCCTCCTTGAGTGAGTCTGGGGTGTTCGGGCTTGGAATCCGGGAAGCGGTCTGACGGGTCCCGGCGCAGCCCGAGGGCGGGGCGACCCGAGGGCGGGGGCGGGGCCGGGAGGCGGCCAGGGGCGGGGCTGGGGTGCATGCAAACACCAAGAAGGGAGAGGAGAAACACGGAGGGGGGTGGCAGCGCACGCGGTAGCGGCGCACGGGGGCGGAGCCAGGGCAGGTCACGGGCGCCGGAGCAGCACGTGCTCGATATAATTCTCCAGCTCCTCCTGCTCCTGCATCCGGCGCTCCTCCGCCTCCGCCTCCTCCTGCGCGCGCCGCGCCTGGGCCTCCCGGTCAGGATAGTGGTGCGAAGGCGGCAGGGCGTGGTGGTAGTGGCGGCGGCGCGAGGCAGCGGGCGGCTGCAGTGTCCGCGGCCGGATATAATTGGGAAAAGGGTGGTAGGGCCCGGGGGGAAACAACTCGTCCTCCTCGCGATCCCAGGGCGGGAGCACCTCGTTCCAGTCGGGCAGCTCCTCGCGGGCGGGGGCGGGGACAGGGGGCGGGGGCTGCGGGGAACGGACGTGGGTGGGGGCGGGGGCGGCCCGGGGGTGCGGCACGGGCTCGGGAGGGGCGTTCTTCTTCCGCTTCCGCTTCTCCTCCACCTCCTCGATGATGCTGACCACGTCGTCCGCTGGCAGGTGGAGTTTGGTGGACAGCTCAATGAGGCTGTCGATCGTCTGAGGGTCCATCTCTTCATCGTCGTCGTCCTCCTCCCCGCCCTCCTCTGCCCCCTCAGCCTCCTTCCGACGGTGGCCGGGCATCTCTTCCTGGGAGCGCTTGTCCTCGGCTCCGGCTTCCCCGTCCTCCTCCTCTGCGAACAGCAGCGCGTTCTGCCGCGCCCTCTCAGCCTCCTCCGCCTCTGCCTCCGCCTCCGCCGCCTCCTCATCCTCTTCCCCCACCCTCTCCGCCCCGCCGCGTCTCTCCTGCTCCGCCTCCGCATCCACCCTCTCGCTCTCTCGCTCCTCCTCCTTCTCCTGCAGCCCCCGACCCCCAAGGCCTCGCTGCCGGGCCCCGCCCTGCAGCAAATACTGGAGCAGCAGGTCGGAGGCGAGGTCTGCCAGCCGCTCTTCCTGCGCCGCGGCCTGCCGTGTGGCCTCTGCCTGCCGCCGCCCGGCCTCTACTTGCGCCAGCCCTTGCTGTAGAAGGCGCTCCCCCGCCTCAGAGCCGCCCAGGAGTGAGCTCTCCGGACGGCGCGCCTTGGGGAAAGGGGCACCCAGGCTTTGGTACGCCTTGGATAGGGGTGCCAATGCCTCACCTAGATGTGTTTTGGGGGAGGACACTCCTTCCCCGAACTGGTGGGCTTCAGGAAGGGGCCCACTCTCCGGCATACGCGCCTGGAATTGAGGGGGAGCAGGGGGTGGCAGGGGCGCGCGCTCCGGGACTCGCGCCTGGAACTCTCCCCACGAAGCGCGCCACACGCGCTCCGGCCCGGGGCTCTCCAGGTTGACTCGGGTCAGCGTGTGCGTGCGAGTTTCCGTCTCTGCTGCCGCTGTCTCTTGCTGGCGCTTGGCGTTGCTCGGACTGAAATCTCGCAGTTCCTGGAGCAGGGAAGCTAGCGCCTCGAGCTCTTCGGAGGGGTCGCCAGCCTCGGGACCATTCTCCTGAGTCTGAGCGCGAGGCGGGGCCGCAGGTGCCTGGGTCTCTGGCGCCGGGAGGCTGTGGGTCTGGCTGCGCACGGTCTCGGTCAGCAGAGCTTCTGCTGCTTCTTCCTTTGGCTCCTGCTGGGAGCCGCCGGGCGCCGGAGGCGAGCCCGGGCGGTCAAGTGCCTGCAGCAGCACTGCGGCCAGCGCCCGGGGATCCACGCCCTGGAAAAGCTCTTCCTCGTCCTGAGGCTCAGAATTTCGAGCGGCTCGGACCTCTGGGGCGCTAACATCCTTCGGCCCGGGCACTGCTTCCCCAGCTACCGGCTCTTTATGTTCAGAGCTGAGGGGAGGTGGCTGCGCCTCAGGGTGCCCCGGGGGCGCTGCTCCCAACCCCTTGATCAGTAGAAGGAAGCAGAAGAGGGTGGAAGCCGGCAACCTGAGCGATTTCATGACCAGAGGACTGCCGGAGACTGTGAAAAATAGAAGGGACCAAAGAAAGAGAGGGTTTCTGTAAGAATTTTCCGCTCTCTGATTCTATATCCCCTTCCCCCACCTTTAATCAGGAAATCCAGGGCTTCCCTCATCCCCCTAACCTTACCCAGAAGAGGGACGTTTAGGTGCAAAGGAGAGAGATGTTGTGCCGATCTCTGGAGTCGTGTAAATGGGAAAACGCCCGCAACCCTCGCTCCCCCCAGTGCCTCCTCGCCCCCTTGCCTAAGCCATCTCACTGCCAGCGCCCACGTACTAAGCAGCTAAGATAAGGGGGGAAAAATCTCTGCTCCCTCCCCACAGGACTCCCCGGATGGTGCGTGGGCGACTTCAGCAGCAAGAGAAAAGCGGCGACTCCCCCATTTACCAGGGACCCTTACCGGGGGCTCCCCGCTGTGTTTTTAACACCCCCATCCGGGAGGAGAGAGAACCCTCCCTCACGCCCACGGCTGCCGAGGGTTTGAGGGATGGACAGCGGAGTATTTACCAGCTGGTGTCACGATGCGGGAGGTGGAGAGGAGGGTCGGGTCGGGGCGGGGTGGGGACAGGGGAAGATCGGGACGCGTCCGCCTCGGCTCCGAGCAGTGGCTGGGATAGGAGCGATGGTCGAGTTCTGGCGTCCAGTGGGTTGGGCTCAGCTGGGTCCGCGCGGCTCTGGGAGACTCGCTCGTTCCGGCTTCAGCACGCTGGACAGCGCCCGCGCCGCTGCCGCCTTATAAAGGGGAGAGCGCAGGGTCACGTGGGATCGCCCCGCCCCATTGACGTCAATGTTCATTCATGGGGAAGCGGGCGGGCGCCTCGAGGTGGGGGGCAGCCCAGTGATTGGAGAAGGTGTTCTTCTCCCGGCCCGCGCCTGCGCGCCGGGAGCCTCGGCTGGAGGGGCGTGCGCTAGTTTAGCACCGGGGAAATGAATGAATGAATGAATGAATGAAATCGCCGGGGCGGGCGGGGCAGGGGGCTATGAATGAATGAAGGAGGGACGAGGAGAAAAGGATGAATGAATGAATGGGAGAATGAATGGAAGGGTGAATGCTGAGACGCTCCAAGGCGGGAGGGTGGGTTACAGAGCAACTTGCAGCTGCGGGAGCCCGCGTCGCTGAGCCGAACAGAATGGGGGCACTCCTAGGGTCTGACTGGGCATCAGTAGGTGATCCATACTGGGGAGGGGGAGGATAAAGATTCCAAAGCCGAGGAAGGGGCTGGACTACCCACCCCCCGACAGCACGCACGGTTCACGGGGAACACACCCAAGGACGGCGTGAACCCGAGAGAGGAGGGACGGATCTGGGCGCCTGCTGGCGCTGTTCGCGGATCTGCGGTGCGGGGTGCCGGCCCTGGGCCGGGGCAGATGGGTGGATCTTGCGGTTTTGGTAATCCCGTTGGAAAGGGTCCGAGTCGGAAGAAAGGGGAAAGACTGAGGATGTGTGCCTCTATGTCGTGTCTGTTCACAGTCGGTGCGTGTTTGGAGAAAAAGGTGTGTCTGTCCTTCTGCCCAGCTCACTCTGTAGCTTATGTTGGCGGCCCCGCTTGCCCCTTGTCAGCCCACCTCTCCCCCACCCTCCTCCTGCTTCTTTCCCTCCCTCTGCTTCCCCCCAAAGGACGTTTGGAGGGCGAGAGCAGACCAGGTGGGGAGGGGGTTGTGCAGGTTGGGGGGGGTGACTCAACTCCAGCTCTCTCCATTGCTTAAAGGGAAGGTTTGAACGCGTTGCAGAGCGGGGGGGTGAGTGTGCAACGTCAGAGATAGCCCCTCTCTAACCATCAGACCCCTCGTCCGTATCTCCTGCCAGAGGCGTTGGGGTTGGGGGCTTGGACAGCTAGAGGTTGGGGGGGGGGCGATGACGCACAGATTGCGCAAAGAGAATCCATCAGCGAGCCGGGTCCAGTGAAGGGAGACCAGCCCGTGGGCGGGGTGGAGGGAGGACGGAAATGGGGAGGAGGCAGGGGAGAAGGGAGGAAGGCAAGGGGAGCAGCCACTGCAGGAATGAAGGGGAGGAGGGAGGCTGGAGGGGGCTGCGGTGCAGGCAGAGAGCTGTGCGGGGGTGTGGGCAGGGAAAGGGGGGAGTGACAATGACACATGCCAGACACACAAGAACTGCGGACACAGGGGTGCCTGTGGGCACACGCAGGGCACCCACACCCTAAGACTCCGGAAACCGAGATCAGGGCTGTCTCTCAGGGGCTCAGAGACTCTTTCAGAGCCAGTCCTCAACCCCCTCCACATCTGTTCCTAGCACTGACCCTCCTCTCTCTCTCTCTCTCTGACACACACATACACACACACACACAAACACACACACACTCACGTGCTTTCCTCTATAGCCAGCAGTGGCTTCTTGGTTCCATCAGTGGCTCGACTTTCCCAGAAGAAAGCCCATCAGCTCTGCAGGGAAAGAGGTGGGGAGGAGTAGAGAGAGAGGAAAGAGAGAAGAGATGGGAGCAGGAGAGGGAGGGAGGAAGGAAGGAATCTGGAACAGGTAGAAGGAACAGGCTAAAGGAGGAAAAAAAAAAAAAAAAACACCACAGCACTGAGAACCAAGGTGACTGTGGAGATACCACAGAAAGCAGAGAGAGGAGGGGGCAGCAGACCCCAAGGCTGTGCCTCACCCCCTCATCCCCAACACACGCAACTATCTAGGACCACTTCCTAACCTGGGGGCTCCCCACATTCCTCTTTCTCCTCCTCTTGTTCTCCCCTTTATCTTCCCAGCCTGGTTACTGTGAGCAGTGGAATGGGGAGGGGGTCACGTTACCTTCCCGAGGAGGATGAATCAGAGAGATGGCTCAGACATCTGGAGGGGGGAGGGGAAGCCATCCAAGAGAGAAGGAAGAGGGGAGGGAAAGAGCCAAGGGGGGCAGACTGAGAGGCTGATGGGGCTAAGAACTAAGTGTGAGATGAGGGGAGACAGGCATCTAGATAAGTGGTTTGTGTTCCTGTGGGCTTGTGTATGTGCACAGGCACCTATGTGTGCATGTGTGTTTGTGTGTGTGCAGAGTTTAATGAAACATGGAGGGGGGTGGAGAAAGGGAATTGGAAGACCAGTTGTGTATTTAATCAGATAGAGTGGATAGGCATGATATTGTTCCACTTTAAATATGAAATCTCTTGCAACCTATGTGGCCATGTTTGTGCCTGTTTCCAGATGTCATTGTATAAGTATGAGTGCATGTGGGTTCCAATCCTTCTGAGTGTCTGTATACCTGTGTGGTTGGGAAGCTTTGAGTGTGTCCAGTCTGGGCATCTTCTGCTGTCCAAAAAGTGAGCCAGGCTTGGTGTGTCACGTGTGTGTGTGTGTGTGTGTGTGTGTATACATATGCGTCTTTGTTTATTTCTGAGTCTTTCCATGCTTTCTGATTTATGTTAGAAGTTATACAGATGTCTCTGTGTCTTTGATCTTGCCTGCCCCTCCCCCACACTCACCATCTCTAGATTTCTGTGCAGTAAAGCCACTCATCCGCAGTCCCCAAGTTCGGGTCTTTGCCCCCTTGTTTTCAGAGCATTCCCTTATTCTTCCATTCTTCCCCCAGTTTTTCACCCCTTCATTCCTCCACTCAGCCCAGAGCCCAGGGGAGCTTCTCAGACACTGACATCCCAAGAATCTCAGCTACCATGGGGTGGGGGAGGGGGGCAGCAAGGTGGAAGCCAGGGCACCCTCCCCCACCACAATAGCGTTGGTGATTCCACAATCTGGATCCCGTCTGTACGGACTCTGAATCTCTGGGTCTATTTCTGCCTCTCTTCATCTCAGTTTCCTACCTGGGTATGCTCTTTCACACACACCCCACCTCTCAGAGATGTGCTGTGCCCTTCATACCCTGCTGACTCCAGGGGCTTCTGGAAAAGAGCTGGACCTGGGAACAGTTGGCTGGAATCGGTAGAGGAAGGAGAAGGGAGGAAAGATAATGGAGAGGCAGAGCTGGAAAAGGCAATGCTGAGATGGAGAGCTGGAGGGGATGCCTGGTGTTTGCTCTGAGTTATTTGTATAAATCCCTCTCTCTGTCTTTGTTTCTGAATCTCTCATACTCTCCAAGAGGGCAGCAGGAGAAGATGGGGTCCAATGGAGTAGTGATCCAAACTGAAGATTTGGAAAGCCAGGGGAGGGGGGTGGACAGACCCCTGTGTCTTTTCCCTGGGAAGGTTTGGAAGAGAAAAAGAGGGCAGGGGCTTGGGGACCCCGCAGCTCATCGTCCCCCCATCCTTCCCTTCCCCCCCAACCGGTGACTCACCTCTGCAGCCTTTCATTGCGTCAGCGATGGGGGGACAGGCAGAGAGGGGGGCACTTTATAAGAGGGACAGGGGTCTCCAGTTTGAACTGAAAGAAGGTGCTGAAGGTCTCCCCTGAGAATCATTGCCCTATCCCCTGCCCAGCCCAGTTCAGTATAGTGGGGAGTACTGGGGAGGGGACCGAGAGGGGGCTGGGGGCCACTGGTGGGTGTGGGAATGATGAGTAATAGGAAGGGGGTGCTCATCCTGATTTTCAGTTCCAGGGTCCCATTCTCTCATACCCCCACCCACTCCTGAGTGGGGGATGGGAGACCCAGCAAGCCGGGGGAGGGCAAAGCCGCAGAGATGAGTCACCAAGAGAATGAGAGAGAGAGAGAGAAAGAGACAGAGATGAGGGGAGACACAAAGAGAGACAGCTTCTGGAGAGACTGAGAAGGAAAAACACACACGCCATGAAGATGATATCCACAAACTAACCAGAGATAGCAAATTGTGTACTTTCATAATTCTGCCCTAGCCTCCTCCAACATCCACCTGTCACACACAGACATACTGTTATTCAGAGTTACACTGATGTTCTGAGACACACCCACTTACACAAACACAATATCACACCTAGCATGGCAGTGTCACTCCGACACATGCTGAAGATGTGACCAGGGTAATGGAGATTTGCGTTGAGAGCCCTTGTTCCTTTTACATGGGATGGTGGGAGGGGGTAAAAACCCTAAGGGAATGTGACTTCAAAAATCCAAGATGCGGTTTCAGGGACTCACAGGCTACGCCTTGCACACACGACGATACAGTTGCTTACCTCCCCATCCACACATACATAGTGACATATCAAATATCCTCCTCATCAAAAAGCCACTTGGAGTACCTGATTCTGGGGCACACCAGGCACGTTGTCCCGAATACATCCCACCCGGACACCCTGTGACTCGTACACACATGTACAGAAACGCAGACACACAAAGACGCCCATGGACACACTCACACGGACGGAAACCACCTTGCGCTGCCTCGCCGGCGTCCGCGCGTCCTGGCGCCCCCGCGTGTTACTTTTCGGAATCGCAGTCTCCGGCGCTCCGGAGCTTGGCTCCCGGGGGGGCGGTGCCCAAGCTCCCTCCACCTCCTCCCGCTTCCGCGGGGTGCCCACCCAGGAATCCGGGAAGCGAGCGCTCGGGCCAAGAGAGCCGAGAGCCGCGAGTTAGACGCCTGGATTGTGGGGCTGAGGGAGGCCGGTCCTGGATGCCAAGGGGAACTTGGGAGAGAAGCCCATAGAATTTGGATAGCAGCGGACTCCTAGGTCCAGGGGAAAGAGAGACCCGGGGTTGTCAGGGCTCCGCGCAGCTGCCCTCCTCGCTCCAGAGCAACCGCTTCTTTCTGCCGCTGGGCTGGGGTGGGGGTGGGGGCGCACAGCGGCCAGCAGCCCTCTCCAGCTCCAGGAAGTCATTAGCCCCATTGCCACAGGGCTTAGAGATCCTCTCTAACACAGGCTGCTGGGGAAGGGGGGGTGGAGGATAATGCGTCTCATCCTTCCCCCACCGAGAAGTGAAACAGACACAGAGGGTGGGCTAAGGGTCCGTTTTATTGCAATACAGTCACGGTTGAAGTGACAGGGAGGGTGGCAGCATGGCCAGACGCCGAAGGCAGCAAAAGCAGAACCGGAACTGGGGAAAGTGATGAAGCAGCGGCTGTCCTCTTTGCCCACCTTCTTCCACCTCCAGGCCCCCTTCTCTGTCCACGTCTTTGATTCCATCCCCAGCGACGCCTGTGCTTGCTGTTAACAAATCCCCACCAACTGTCCATCGTCCAGCAAGAAGTTCCAGCACTCACGGTCCCACGGAGTGAGGTTCTGAAGCATGCTAAGGGCTTGGGACTCCGGAATTCTAGGCCCTGCCTGGCTCCAAGCTACTTTGAATGACTCGGAAGTCACTTTGATCTTTGCGAACCTCTTTCCTCCCTCCGTGGTAGATATGAGCATCCAGTGTAGGAGACAGCGCTGTGTACTTCCAGCTGTTACTACTTGGACTCAAATAGAAAACTGCCAAAGTCCAAAAAGCCTAAAGAAACCAGAGGAAGGGAGGGATGTCCAGAAATAACCGGAGGTGGGGGTTCCAGTGGCGCTAGAAGGCAGCCCGGTCAGAACCAAAGAACAGCCCCATACTGGGCTGAGGACTCTGCACTCCCACGCCAGACTCTCCAACCCAACCCCCCCGGTCCGTGGCCTAGTTCAGGCCACTGGTTGGGGGCATGGGAAGGGGGCCTCTGGCATAGCAACATGGTACAAAGTTGGAGGAAACCCGTCAGAGGGGGATAGGCTTGGAAAGATTCGTCCCTGGAGGGTCAACAGGGCATTATAATTCTAGTTCATTGACAGGCTCCGTATTGCAAACGGGGTGAGTGATGAAAAGGTCATGGGGAAGAGGAATGGAGGAGCAGACAAATGGGTCACGGGGAGCTAAGTGTCTGGGAGGCCCGGGGAGGAGGAGGGTGGGGGTACAGAGGGAAGGAGGGAGGGGATAGTGATGGAGAAGCGCAGGAGGCCGAGAGGGAGGCAAGGAGGAGAGTGCTGGGCAAGCTCTGAGAGCTCGAGAAAGGGCGGGAGGAAGAAAAGTAATACGTGTTGGGCCCCTGGGCATAGCACATCCTTCTGCCCGCTCCCATCCGCGAGGGGGCAGAAGGGAGAAGCCAAGAAGGGCCGAATTCACGGTCAGGCCAAGGCGGCGGACAACGAAAGGCTCTGAAGTCTGGGATGGAACCCATTCTTCGGCCAGTAAGTGGGAAAGGGTGGACAATCGCAGCGCAAGGGCCTCCCCCAAACCCGGCGGTTTGGAGCGTGGGCAACAGCTTCGGGTGGCGCCAGAGAAGTAAGGGTAAAAAGTTAGGACGCTGAGAGTAAGGTGAGGCTTCAGAGCCAACCGCGGAGAGCAGGGGCAGGGGGCGGAGCTTGCGAACAGAGGGAGTAGGGGCTTTCTGCAGATCCGAAGTGCTGCTTCTGTCCCCTCCGATAGGACACGCCTTAGATGGCGGCCTCCAGCAGGTGCTGCTCCGTATCACCCTTGACCGGCTCGAGCCCCCGGCCGGCCTGGCAGAAGTCTGCCAGCTGTGACCATAACTGGGGCGCTAGGAAAAGCCGGCACATGACGATGAGGCCGGCGAGGCGCGGGGCCTGGCGCTGCAGATGCCGCAAAAGCTGGCTCTGCACCTGCGCGTCATCGCTGCCGAAGGCGCTGATGTTGAGGTAGTGCCACGTGCCGTCACCGCCATGCGAGATGGGAAAGGGGCGCGTGCACAGCGTGAGCACGCGGGACTGTCCACGCGCCACTCCAGGCCTTGGCCGCCAGCCGGCGCGGGCTGCTTTCCCTCGGCCTGTAGGGATGCCAGTCGTGGATGATGGTCCCTCCTGGAAGCTCGTCGCGCTGTGCGGAGGGCGACAGCAGGAGGCGTGCCTCTGAATATGTGCCTGGATCCCAAGGAGGGGCGAGGTCGGTGTGGGGCCCTGGGTCTCCGAGGGGAGGGGAAGGGTGGGAAACAGATTAGTCGGTAGGATAAGGGAGGCGCAGGGAAAGGACAAAGGCCCAGATCAGGATCTTTGGGTCCCTGAAGGGAAGCAGGAGCAATAGAGGGGAGGCAGGGTCACGGAACTCCGGACCCCGGGGCTCGCCAGCCATCTGGAGTAAGGACTGAGGGTTGGACGGCTGGGAGTCGGGAGCTTTTTGACTGCCACTAGGCAGAAGGGCCTGGGTCCGGTCTGCGAGTCCCGGGGCAGGGCTCACGGGCGCCCCCACTCGGCAGACCCAGCAGAGAAAGCAAGCCGGTGAATGCGCGAGGCGGGAGGACGCCTGGTTATCAGAGCTCCGGGGTCCTTCTCACCTGCTGCGTGATGGGGCGGTATTTCATCAGCTCACGGGGGCCCAGCTGGTTGTCCCGCGTGAGCCGTGCCACCCTGACCCCCAGGTGCTGTCGCGCTACGCCCTTGCCGCGCTCCCTGGGCGCCACGCGCAGCCCCTCCACCAGCACGGTCTCCCTGGCGTCGATCAAGGGCACCGACTCCAGAACGATCTGCGGACCGACGCCGTTAGGGGGCCCTCCGCCCCACCCGGGTCTCTCGGCTCACGGGACTCGCCTCTTCCCACACGCTGAGTACTCCGTCGTCCCCACCCCGGGCGCCAGGCCAGGCCCAGGCCTGCCCGGGGAGATCTCCTCAGCCCTCGGGTCTCGAATTCCAGAGCCGGCCTTTCCATCCCGGTCTCATCCACCTCTAGAGAGGATCCAGCTCCGCTTACACCGGGTCCCTGGGCATCGCCACACCCCTTTTCCTTGGCCCCACCCCCAGGAACTTGCTACGCCCCCTAGTCCTGCCACGCCCCCTGCTCTTCTTAGCTCCGCCCCGACCCCCGTCTAGCAGCCCGGCCCTCTCGCAGTTTCCAGATGCCTTTTGAGCGAGAGTTCAGTCCATTCAGGGGTCCTGACCCCGCTCTTGGTCTCACCTCCAGTCTACCTTCTTTTGCCTGCTCTCCTCTTTTTATGCTCCTGCCTCCCAAAACTGCTCAAACGAATCTTCAAACACCGAAGCTCTCACCAGTCCCTTCCTCTGGTTCCTCCACTCTTCCCAGGACTGCGCTCATTGCTGGGCCCCTGGATGCGCACGCCCGACTCTTTGGTTCCAGAGCGGACTGACTCCTCAGGCCTCCTCTCCTTCCTAAGATCCCAGTCACCAAACGTAGCTTCACCCCGCTTTCACCGGGCCCCGGCTCTCACCACTCCTTTACGCTTGGCCAGCACCACGGTGCCGTCGGAATCCCGGAGCCGGCTGTGGTAGTGGCTGGGAACGTAGTAGTCGAGGCCTACTGGAGATGCCCCCCGAGATGGCCAGCACCTTCTCAAACTCCCGTTCTGTGCCACCACGAAGACCAAAGGCTTGGCCTTGGCGTCAGGCCTGGATCTGGACCTGGGGTTGGCCCCCAAGGGCTTGGCCTTGGCCTCAGGACCTGACTCAGCCCCTGGGGTCTCGCTCTCAGCCTCAGGCCGTGATCAGGATCTGGACGTGGCAGCCTCCCCCTCCAGGCGTCTGAATGTGGCTCGGCATCTGACTTGGCCTTGTTTTCAGGCTTAGGGACCTCTGAGCTGGCTGCACCACACCTGGCTTCCAATTTCATTTCCCTGCAGAAAATAGACAACCCAGTGTTGTGGTCAGAGCCCCTGTTTCCACATGTGGCCCCCTATACCTCCAGTCCCCACAGCCCTTTCCTACACCAATACCCCTTCTCTTCTGCTCTCCACACAGACCCCGGGAATACAGGGCCTCTGGCTCTGGCAAGCTCCCAGAGCTCCCAAACCTACCAGGGGATTCCTCAACAGTCACAAATCGGGAAACCCATGAGCTCCTCAGAGACTGTCCCGAGATCCCCTTCACATCCAGCTGCCCCTAAGGGACTCAGACAAGGGGCAAAAGGCCCTTGAAGGGGTAAAAGATTGAAAAGGTCCCACCACTTCTCCAAGACTTCTGTAAGAACATGAGAAACCATCATCTCCACTCTCCCTACAAAAGGGGTCCCTGGGGAAAACAGAGGGTTCCATCCCCCCTTTCCTACCACTGCCAGTCACAATCCTAGAGCAAAGGTGGGGTGGGTATAAACTCCAGATCTTCCCCTATTGCCAGTCCAGTACCCTCCACTCCCACCTCTGACACATACATTCAAACATAAACCAGAGTGGACAGTTGGATAGGTCCATTAGAAAATTTCAAGTCATTCCTCCCAGGCTGATCAAAGCGCCTTTCCCTTCCTCCTGCTGGAGTTTGTTCCCTCCTTCTCCGTAGGGAGACCTGGCTTCCCTCTAGGGCTAGATGATCATTTGGGAAAAGGCTCTGTTGGAGCTCCGGCAAACAGAATGTCCACAAAGATCACCTATGCCCCTCTTCCATTTACCTTCCCTCCAGAGGGTCTCTTCTGATTTTCTCTCTCCCTCTGTTCTTCTTTCTAATTTCTTCCTATAATTCTTACCCTATCTTCTACTCAAGATTTTCTGTGTCCTTCCTATTCTCATTTTTGGGTCAGCTCCCCTGGATCTGTCACCATTTGGCCTCTTCTGTTTTCCCTGCCAGAAACAGGGCCAAGAGAAAGCCCCCTCCCCAAGTCCTAATGGCTCTTCATTTCCAGACCTCTCCCCTCCAGACCAAACAAATCAACCAATTAAACCCCCCTTCTCTCTTTCAGCCAGTTATAACAGTCCCTTCCTACAACTGACCTCAAGCCTCATTAACCAACATCCCAGGAGACACATCTAATAGCTACTTTGTGGGGGATGATACTGGTTGGTTTGTTTGTTTGCTTTTTTAACAAACATGCTGCCTAAGTTTGGGAGAGGGGACAAACAATGGCACTAAGGAGTTTAGGGATGGTCTTAGCTCCCACACCATAAACAGCTTACGTAACTACAGCATGCTTGCTATACAGACGAAACTTCAAAAGCCCCATGTCTAAGGCCCTCCTGGGTAATCCTTACCTGGCTGAGGTAAGACAGCATCAGGTCAGTATCATCAGAGAGAGGGGAAGCAAAGACTCAGAGGATCTTATAGCCCCTGCTAGAGCCACCTGAGACCATCAAGTTCATCCCACTTCTTTAACAGTGAGGAAACAGACACCCAAAGGAGGCTCAGATCTGGCCTAAGGTGACTCCGCTTGGATAGAGCCAGGCTTGAGGTCAAGGTTAAGTTTTCCTGGCTCCCAGGCCAGTGGGGGAGTGTATTTTTGGTGTATTTGGGCCTCCAATCCCAGGCGGAAGAGCAAGGACAGTAATTACTGGGTCCTTCCTTGGCAGGAGTCAAAGGTCCCAAGAACTCAAAGCTCAGAAACAGAGATGGGGTCCTTTGGAGGAAACCCTAATGCCCCCCCCCACTGTCAGCACTTCCATGCCAACAAGCCTGGGACCAGCTCAAGCATCAGATTCCTTGTGGCAGGCTCTGGCAATGATGGGTCTCAGAAATGAGCAAGTTAGCTTGTGGCTTCCGTCTACATTTCCAGGCAACCTCACCAGTAGTTCACGGGTCCCTGAAAAATACCAGCTGGTAGTTCCGTGCTGAGCTTGGCAATTTCCTACAGCCCCCAAAGGGGACAGAATGTGAGCAACTTGGAGACAGGGACCCATCCAACTGATTCAAGACATTCGGTTACCCTCCTTTGCTTTCAAGTTGGGGGAGACTCTTTCCAAAGGGTGTGTCTTCATCTTGGATAAGGTTGTTTGTAAGGAGGTCACAGGAAAGAAGGAAGAGCTTGCAAATTCATCTCTCTCATTTTCTTCCTAGGCACTCCTCTATACCTATTCCCTTTTGGGGGGACAGGACACAAATGTTCCAAGTTCCTTAAGCCCTGGGGGAGGTGGGTGCTGGGAACAAAGCAGGCCAGAGGCTCCAGGCCAAGCCAAAGCTGCTGGCTGGCCCCACAACCCTGGCTCCACACTCTGATCCCTTTCCATCCCTCAGGACAGTGCCCTCCAACCTGACTCCTTGAACTGTCATTCCCATAATGTATCTAGGCAGAGGGAGCCCGTGCCCCCAGGGCACTGTGGGAGATGTAGTTCAGGCATCTCCTGGACTGAGCTCCAGGAAGAGGGGCAGCGTTTCCCTTGCCCTCCATATTCCTGCATTCTTGGATCCATTCTTTCAATCTTATAAATATGAATGCTCACCCTGGGAGGGGATGATTAAAGTCCTCGCTGGGCATGCCGGGAGGCCCCCACCCCACCTCCACCGCACCCCACACACCTGAAATATTGGTGCCCTTGAGGTCGACAGCTTCTCGGAGCTGGAACAGGGAGTAGAGGGAGCAGACAGCGGAGAGGCGGAGACAAAGAGACGGCAGCAACACAAAGCACCCAAAGAAGAGAGCAAAAAGGACAGGAGGGGAGGCAGGAAGGAGACAAAGGCGGACAGGGAGGTGCGGGGCAGGAGAGGATGGGAGAGGGGAGTGGGAGGAGGCACGGATACCAGACACAGACATAACACCTCGTGACTCTGGGCCAAGCAGATGCCAAAAAAAAAAAAAGTCCTAGCAATGCACCCCCTCCCCAGGGAGACCATAAATAGAAAGCAGCGACACACCCCCTTCTCCCCACGGTGCGCGATGGGGGAAGGGGTCAAGGGGAGGAGAGAGCCAGAAAAAGAGTCAGAAAGAGAATAGAGACCTCGGGAACAGAGGCGGGGGAGACAAGATGAAATGGGGCACAGGCAGGGGATGAGGAAGATAGACCAATGAGCCATGGGGGGTGCCCCAGAGCCACAGCCATGGATTAGGGGCTGTCCTGGAGGGTTTTTCCCAGTCTTTCCTCTGCCCCTTCCCAGGAGTGGGGAGTGTGGGGGGGCAGGCGGGACAGAGCTTCCGAAGGAAGCTTTCTACTTGGCAGGGGTCCCCGTGGGCGCCAGGCTCAGGGGACAGGTGGGAGCGCAATGACGACGGGATGGGGGAGGGATGACGGACGGGAAAGTGCCTCTGAACATGTAGGCAAAGTCCGGATCCCAGTTATCTAGGTCACCGGACCGGGAGGGGTAGGACTGTAGGGGGCACAGCGGCTGTCTTCCCCTGGGGTGCGGTGGCCTTCTGCTACCCCCGTTCCGCGGAGGAGGAGCACGCCAGCCCCCAGCCCTCAGGCCCGCGGCCCCCTACCTCGCCGGAGCCGGAGCCCGGGCCGGGATACCGAGACACGGAGCGGGGCAGGCCACGCAGACAGCGAACGGTGTCGGGAGTGGGGTCCCTTCGGAGCCCCGAGGGTCGAGTTCTGACGACGCGGGGGACCAGAGCAGTCCCAGCTCGGAGTTGGAGCGCGGATGCGGGGTCTGCGCCGCGGCTCAGCGCCGCACGCGGGCGGGAGGTTCGGGGTTCGGGTGCTGCGGGCGCCTCCCGCCGCGACGCTCTGCGGGGCCGGTGCTGCGGCTCCGAGGGGCGGAGACCCTGGCGACGCGGAGGAAACCCGGCCCGGATCTGGAGTGGACTCAGGGCGGCCTGGGGGCGGGTGGGCGGAGAGCAGGTGCCGGGCAAGGTGGGGGTGGGGCATGCGGGCCCGGGGGCCGGCGCAGCTGGGTGGCCTCAAGTCCGGCCAAAGAGACTTCGCCCCTTGTTCTGGCTGGGCAGCGGGACTAAGGGTGGGAGGTGCCCAGGGTTTTGGCGGAGGGGTTGACTGCTGGCTTAGTTATCACCCCACACCCCCAGCACCTTTACACTCTGCCCCGGGGACTCCTCTCCCCGCCCCCCCCCACCGCTTTCGCAGCCCTCCCTCCTCCAGGCGACACCCCCTCAAACTAATGCCAGTGCCAGGTAAGTCAGAGTCACTGGAGAGGGCACACAGAGCCCTGGGGACCAGGTCGGAGAAACAGATGGAGGAAATTGGAAACGCTTGCAAATGGGGGTGCGAGAAGACACCGGGAGACAGATGGGGATGGGAGCCCCTCTCCCTCGCCCTCCCTCCGGGGTCTGCCCAGCTCTCCTGCTCCCTCTTCCCACCAATCTCTGATTCCCCACCTATCTTTTCCCACTTTTTAAAATACTTTCCAAGGTGATAACTCCGTTAACCTGTTACAGCTATCCAATAGGCTGTGCTAATGTGATCAGGTGGGAGAGTGGGGTTCGTGTCCTCTTCCGGGGCTCCCAGACACATGGCCACGCGGAGGGTTAAACAGACGAGAGTCATCCTTGGAATTCTAGGCCCAGGTAGGCCAATAAAAAACTGACAAGTCACTTAACCTTCTTATTTTTCTTTTTTCTTTTCTTTTCTTTTTTCTTTCTTTCTTTCTTTTTTTTTTTTTTTTTACTTTTTATTTCTGTAATCGCCGCACCCAACGTGGGGCTCGAACTTACGACCCCGAGATCAAGAATTGCATGCTCCACCGACTGAGCCGGCCGGGCGCCCCTCTTCCTTCTTTTTTCTTAATATGACTTCTCCCCATTTCTGATTTTTTAAAAAAACTGCTAACACCCTGCCCATCTCCCAAAACCGCGGGTAAGGTGGAACGTGCTCCACGGTGGGACAGCTCCTCAAAAAGTTGGCGGAAAAAGTCACAGGCGGCAGGAGGGAGAAGCAACCGGGCTCTAATCCCTCCCTTTTCCCCAGAAGCCACGCCTTCTGCCACCAGAAGCTCTGGGATTGGCTCAACGTTCACCACTTCCAGTTCTCTCAGCCAATGAGAAAAGAAAGTTTCCCGAAGTTGCTAACGCTTCACGTCTGAGCGGCGCAGAAGGGAGAAGTCGCCGCTCATTGGTCTAATCAAAAGCCACGTGGTTCCAAAATCACCACGCGCAGGCTGCTTCTGTCCCGACTCCCCTGAGAGTTTAGGGGGGCGGTGATGATAAGGGGTTGGAAGATGACGAATCCCCTGGCTGCCCCTCCCAGCAAGAGGGAACAAGAGACTTTCGGCATCCGTAAGTGCTTTGAGGATGCGGGGTCGGGGTGGGGGGGGGGGAGGGGATGGAGGTGGGGGTGCATCACCTTGTGCCACTGGACTTTAAAATCCGCCAAGGTTAAGACCCGTGGGGATGGAAGCGTGATTTGCTTTGTGGCAGAGGCGTGAGAGTCCTGGCTTCACAGGTCTGGGTACCAGGCCACCCCGCCTCCCCCCCCCCCCACTTCACCCCCGCACCCCATCCTGGTGGTGAGCCTCAGAACCACCCAGAATGTTTGCACAGCACTTCGGTTTGATTCTCATAACACTGTAGGATGGGTGAGGCTTGTTTAGTCACTTTACAAAGGAAGAAAGTGGGTTCTGAGAAGTCCCGCCATGTGGGCCAGATCCCGTAGCTGGCAAGGGGCACTATGAAGGCCTCCGGCTGCAAACCGAGACCCCCACCGCCCACTGACCCCTCAGAGGGCAGAGGTACTTGGTGAAAATGCTTTTGCAAATGGCAGCACACGAAGCAGATGTCAGTGCAGTTAATGCTGGAGGTTTCCCTTAGCTGCCCTGAATTTTGTAAACGCTGTCTCGGACCTGGGGACCCATACTGGCTTTGACCCTCATGCCAGTCTTGTTTCTTTGGGCCTTTTATTTGGAAGAGCATATTGTGTGTCTTCTCTCTGGACCCGTGTGTCTTATTGTCAGCAGGGCAGTATTTTCCTCCCTGCCCTTTCATTCATATGGGTCGTCCCTATCCCCGCATCGTCTCTCACCCTCCCCTTCAGCAGACCACCTTGGGTCTTCTTCTCTGGCCCTGAACACCTCCGCACTCTGGGATTCTGAGGACCAGGACTTCTTCCCCCAGATTTTTGGTTTTGGGGTGTTCTCCTCTCTGACCCCTCTTCTCCCTCCGACTCTCCAGCTTTTGAGACCAAGGCTGAGACCCCTGGCCTCTCCCTGATCCAGTGACCCTTCTTCCTGGGCAAGTCCCCATTTTATGAGTCAGGTCTATCGACACTTGGCTGATCGCAGAGAAATATAAAAGATGCTTTACTGAGCATCTTATGGGCACCGCATGTGCTTTTTGTCAACTAGGCAAAGGACCAACTGATCTGCAGATAAGGCAGGAGGCCAAAGATCAAAGGGTTAAGTAATTGCCTCAGAGTCACAGAGCCAGTGAATGCCTAAAAAGTCTTACTCAGAATTATGGCATCGGAAGGAACTTTCCAGATTACCTCAGAAGGCAAGGTATCACAGATCCCACATACTGGTGACTCACGGTTTCTTCATCTGTAAAGAGGGCATATCTCCCACCTTCCAGGAGGATTGAGTAAGATAATGTAAGAAAAGTGCTTGGCAGAGCATAGAGGTTCGATTAAAAGTAGGTATTACGATCTAGCCAACTAGAACAACAATTCTCCCCTGCAGTGCATTGCAGCTTGTACACTGAAATGCAGATGGAACCAGAGGCCTGCCTTATTCACTCTTCCTTTGGGACTGTCAGACTCTAAGAACTTCATGAATCAGGGGATAGAAAGCTGGGAAGCCAGTGAGCTTGACAGTGAACTCTTTTTTAGAACGGGGTTGATGTTACAGCTGTCTTTTTTATTTTTCTTTTAAGATTTTATTTATCTGGGGTACCTAGGTGGCTCAGTGGGTTAAAGCCTCTGCCTTCGGCTCAGGTCAGGGTCTCTGGGTCCTGGGATCGAGCCCGAATCGGGCTCTCTGCTCAGCAGGGAGCCTGCTTCCTCCCACCCACCACCTGCCTCGCTGCCTACTTGTGATCTCTCTCTCTCTCTCTCTCTCTCTCTGTGTCAAATAAATAAATAAAATCTTTTTTAAAAAAAGATTTTATTTATTTATTGGTGGGGGGAGAGAGAAGGAGAGGGCAGAGGGAGAGGGAGAGGGAGAAGCAGACTCCCTGTCGAGCAGGGAGCCCGACGTGGGGCTGAATCCCAGGACCCCGAGATCATGACTCAAGCAGACGCCTAACTGACTGAACCACCCAGGCCCCCTGATGTTAAAGCTATCTTTATACCTCTGGTGCTTTGTTCAGCTCTTGGCACATAGTAAATGCTTAATAAGTATATTATGAAAGAAGGAATGACTTCAACCTAGTTCTAGAGTAGGGGAAGTTGAGAACACCTTTGATCGTTTTTATCGAAAGTCATCCACCGGGTAGAGGTAAAACCAGGTTCCCGGTATCCTAACCCCAAGCCAATGCACAACCCAGCCTCACACTGCATTGCTTGCTTGCTTGCTTTCTTTCTTTCTTTCTTTCTTTCTTCCTTTTTTTAAAAGATTTTATTTATTTATTTGAAAGAGAGATCGAGATCACAAGTAGGCAGAGAGGCAGGCAGAGGGAGAGAGGGAAGCAGGCTCCCTGCTGAGCAAGGAGCCTGATTTGGGGCTTGATCCCAGGACTCTGGGATCATGACCTGAGCCGAAGACAAAGGCTCAACCCACTGAGCCACCCAGGCGCCCCTCACACTGCGTTTCTAAAGGCTCAGGATAACGGCTTGTGCCTAGAAGTCCCTGAAATTCCACATCTTCTCTCCCCACCCATCACCAGGTCCCTCTCTCCAGGTCCATATGAACCAACATTGTCTGTAATGTCTGTCATTTATTCACAAACATTAACGTCATCTTCGATGGGTCTGATTGACTCCATTTCTGTTCTCAAAGAGCTCAATCTGATGAACACATCAGAAAAAACCCCATCACTTTTATTCTGGAGACTATCTAACACACACAGAAAATAGAACAGTATAGCAAAGCCTCACTGGCCTACCATCAGCTTCAACAATTATCAGCTCATAACCACTATCACTGGACACTGCAAGCACCCTGATATTTTGAAAAAAAATTCAGACATCATATCGTTTCTGGTATTTCAGTAGATTTTTATCATAGGGAGAGATGGAATTGTGTCTCCCTCCCCAATTCATATATTGAAGCCCTAACCTCCAGTGTGACTGTATTTGGAGACAGGG